GTTGGAATGGAATGGTCTGATAGGTGGTAAGTTGAATGGAATGGTCTGATAGGTGGTAAGTTGGAATGGAATGATCTGATAGGTGGTAAGTTGAAAGGAACACAGCAGAATTTTAGGTTTCAAATTACTACATTGCCCAAAATTCATATTCACTGTATAAATTACAACCAGAATATTTAATATTTACACTAGTAATACCGGTAGGTCGAGTACAACTGATGATGACGACCATTTGAGTCTCAGTGATTGCTGGGATTAATAGAGACTTCTGCACAAACAACCTGATGATTACATGATTTATTTAATTATTTATTTTCTTTCAGAGAGTGGATGGTTGGAAGTAACTCACTCAATGATCAATGTTATTCCTATGGATGATCCACTTGGCCCTGCTGTCATTACACTATTGATTGATGAGTGTCCATTACCAGCAAAAGTAGGCAGCTCATTTACATAATAAACCACTCACACATTATCTTATCATAGACCCTTTCTTCCAACATGGCACTTGGGGGGGGGGGTATTGTTTAAATATCAAGGATGGGGTTCTGTGGAATAATGCTCCCCGTCGGAAGACCCATTATTTGAATGAACACCCCACAACTTTGTTATTTAAACAGTAATGAATCCCCTACAGTGCCATAGCAAAATACTGTGTGAGGTAAAGTCAAACATATTATTGTGTCTACACCCTAATCTGATTCCAATAAGACACTGTACAAGTTTATTTCTGTTGTTATAAATCACCACAATCAGAATTAAACAAATTTAGGTAATAGTTTTAGCTTTTTGTTGAAAATGAATTTGCTTGCAAAGAGAGGTTTAGATTATAGTGTGATAATGTTAATTTATGACATCATAAAAATCTCTAATTCTATTCCTGGTGATTTATGACATTCAATAATGGGCAGATTTCTTTATGTCAATTATAATATCCTAAAATGTTTAAAAATTGAGGTAGCTTGAGAAGGAAGAGATAGTCAGTGTGGTATGCATGTCGTAAAAGCTAAAACATTTACAAATGAACAATATGCAAAAACCTGCTGATAAATTCCTTACTACCAATGCACATAGCATTAGAACGTCAATACAGCAGGTCAGCAAGCAAACTTGCTAGTCAATTAGCAACGTCCAGTGCTAGCTTTCAAAACTGGAACACAGCTAGTGAATTTTTTCCCATCAGCCAGGTTGAACGTGTAGTGGAAGATACTATTATTTTGAGGTGTTTTTAGATGTTTGAAAATTATGCCTTATTTGTTATTTCACACGTTTCCTGTCTTTATTTTTGCTATTACAATTTTATTTTCAAATTTCTAATGGAATATTTCAGTGCAAACCCCTCACTGTTTTAGTCTGACTTAAGAGAAAAACATATCAGATATAGTTTATACCACAAAGTCTACTATCTGGTATAAAATTACATGTTTTCAATGTACTGGTTTATCAACAGAATCATGCTGAGTTTGTTGTCCAAACGATAGGTGTAAAAGTGAAGAAACATTGAATATTGTTGAGTCAAACATAATCTTGTTAATATATTAATGTATTGACCTCAAGCACTGCCTCAAGTTATTCACTGATAACAAGGCACTGATAACAAAGTACTGATTGACTGATGAGAACACAGTGTTTCAATAACAAAATTTGCTGCTTGTCCTGCTGTGCTTTTCTGTCTTAAAGATCCCAGTGAAATCTTCATAGTTACAATATTTCATAATTTTCCCGGACTTATAAAATCTGGGAAAATTTGTCTCATAAAATGAAAGTGGTTTAAAATATTGTACATTTTTGCTTCATAATTTCCATGGTATATACTTTTGTGTTCTGCTACAAATAAATGCTAATTATCACCTGCTAGTATGAACACACCTTGATTCACTACGTTCAATTACCCACCATAGACTCTGGTCAGTCAAAATGACTATTTTGAAATGTAGGCATGATGGAGAGATAGAATCCAGTTCAGGGGAAGCCCCATGACCTCAAGATTCTTTTACCCCTTACATCACGAACCCACGTGACCGAGGCCACCTGGCAGCGCCACAGGTAGCCGTCCATCACTCTGATTTTTTCTCCGCCTCTAGTGGAGATGAAATCTAGCAAGCTCTGCTGGATCGCCTGCTTTTTTTCCTGTCCGGACATTGTAGCTGGTAGGATAAGTTTTCCTTGTCATTTTTACCCTCGTGTCGTTTTCCCCTTTGTGTGTAGTATTTTTCACAACAAAGAAATTAAAACCCGGCGCCTCTACGTAACCACTGGTTGGTTTCGCGGCGGCACCTTTTACAACTGTATTTCGTTTTTTTCCCTCATGCATGTCGTCTTTTATTTACAATGTATTTAGCAATATATAGATGTCATGACAGCACCAGGGCTCACTGCCGTTTTTCTTTCCGCTCTCCTCTCGTTTCGAGTCGACAGTGGTTATATTCAGAATTTACCAGCATAGAACCCGCATCCGAGATACTTTGTCGTAGCTACGTGTGGGGTTCGTGGTTTTTGCATGAAGGTGTGTGTTTTTTCACTGGAGTTCTGAGGCCTGAGATTTTCTTTCAGAGCCATCAAAATCGCTGAGACTGACCGCGTCACAGCAAGGTCGCGCGTCCAGTAAACAAATCGGTTAAAGTGACTGGCGTGTTTTGCATGAGTGGAAAGCCCTCACGCTCGGCTACCAGTACTTCGTGTACTGGGACGTCGAGTAAGAGGCCCGACGGTGGAGGTACCGATATTTTTCTCGGTCTCCCCCGCTGATCGGAGGGCATCCTCACAGTCTGTTTTTTCAGGCGGTGTTTTTACCCGATTTTACCGGCTGCAGCGAGGCTGTTCCCCTGGAGGCTTTTCTCCTATGGGGCCCGTCTCTTTGTGGACCCTTCCTCGCACGGCGCCGGGTTTGCCTCCGTGCAGGCACGTGTTCGGTGAGTGGCCAGGTCACAACTTAGTGACTACTTCAGTACTTCAGGCCTTGGGGAACTCACCTCATGGGGGAGGGGAGCACCCCCCTCGCAACTGCCAAACGCATGGCCACATATTCCTGTCGTACAGATTGCGCCAGCGTAGTCCGGTTTGGAGACAGCGAGTGACCGATCCCTGGACCTTTCCAGGTGGTGACATCCTGTTACGGTGATACCGCTGAAATCTCCATTTCCCCCTCGTCAGTGTCTCCCCTGTTGGGCACTGCCAGGGGACTCAATCAGACGGGAAGTAGCAGTTTGCTGGTAAAGACGCCATACACAGGGTACATCAGCTGGAACTAAGTCCAGGCTTCTACCCAAATGTGTTCGTAGTACCAAATCTACAAGTGGCAGGCGTCCAGTTCTGGACCTAGGAAGACAGAATCAGTACGTGCTCCTCGATCGGTTCCACATGGAGACACCATTCAGGGTTCTTCTCTCCATCAACCGTTTTGACTGGCTAGCCCCACTAGACTTAAGCGCGGGGCCTACATGCACAAACTGATGCACCCAGCGAGTTGCCATTTCCTGCGAACAGCACAGGCAAGGTAAGACACCACCCTTTTTTGGGCCTTAACTAGGGTGTTGAGTTTGTTTTCATCCCGTACTGGGAAAAGACTTTCATCCTTTTTTTCTGTTTGCTCGGAAAAACCCGCCACCTATCGGTGTCTGACTCTGCCTACAGTTCAAAATAGTCATTTTGACTGACCGGAGTCTATGGTGGGTATGAACTATGTGAATAGGCGGGTTCGGAGAACCCTTGCCTAAATTTTGTCTTTTCATTGGTTACAGGAATATGTTGAGAAATTATCAGAAATGTTGAGATTATCAGAAAGGACTACAGAGTCTGTTCTCAAATACCCTGCCAAACACAGAAACATAGCTACAGTACTAGGATGTATAGCAGAAAAATTAGCTGGTCCAAACAGTGTGGCATTACTTACAGAACACAATCTCAAGTATTTACTTGCAAACTTGGTAAGTTGTCAATTGATTAGAATTCTTAGTTTGGCAACATTATTCTCAATTTATTAACAAGAATTTAGCCAATCAGAGCTCTTGTTAATTATTTTTGCAACAAGTTGACCTCTGATTGGAAGAATAATCTGTGGTCCTGATTATTATTTGCTACCTTAGCCATGTGTTTTTGCTATACTCTTGACTACCCTGATTGCTCATACTGCCAATTTTACTGTCTGATGAAATTCTACAAAAAGCAAATTACATGTAATCAAAAAAAGTGCCCAGAATATAGAGATATCAACTGAATATAATCTTTTATTTCTTTACAGAATCCATGTTTGCATCCACAAGTGATACTCTTTTCAATCATTGCATTAGAAAAGTTTTCTCAAACAAGTGAGTTATGGTTTCTTCCAGTTTAATGTTGTAAAAATCAGCCACAAACTTTCTTGCATTATGAAGCTGTCATGATTATAATTGTTACTCATTTTGGCTTTGTTTCTCATAAATATCATGTGCTATTATTACTCTTTTATTTATCACATTTGCATATTGTTGTCTAGGTGAAAACAAGATAACCATTAAACATGCTGGTATTGCTCCTCTTTTGATGGTTCTAGAGAATTGGCTGAGCCATCATGACTACGATATGCGACAAGTTGGCTTCTGTTCACAGTGGTGTTTAGATAACCTATGTAAGTCATATATGTGTAATAAAAACAGAATTTACAGATGCCATTCATTTAAACCATTTTAAATGTGAATTTTTATTGTAGATGCACATCTAATAGATCAATATAATATTATATTACATATTTGACACTGTCAACATAGAATCCCAAGAAATATAAACCTTTGCTGGATTCACATTTGCCAGAACACTATTCAAACATTGAAATGTGAATGCTAACTTACATCAATATGAATTGTTAGCCCCCGCCGGATCTGCGATCTGGGCGGGGGGTATTAATTTGGGTCGTGTCTGTGCATCCGTGTGTGCACATTTTTACGTTACCAGCTTTTTCTTACACATGTGTGATCCAATTCAGTTCAGAGTTGGTACAGAGACAGGAATTGATCGTGTTATGATGCACATCAAGTTATTTTTTCGATTCTTCAAAGTTTCACTGTGTTTTTCTTTGATTTTTAACATTTTTTCTTCAAAACTGCTGGAAAATCCAACTTTTCCCGAAATTACCCGAGTGTAATCCGAGTTTTGATGACGCATACACAGTTCTCGTCTTGGTGGAAATCTCAGTCATTTTTGTGTGAGGATATTGTATCCCGGAATTGTATGTTTATTTGCGCAATGCTTATATGGACAAAATTGTGTCTCGTCAATTTCAAAGGTAAGAAACTGTGCTTGTTATGGTATTTATACACTTTGTATTATCGTTTGTGTCTCGGGTTTGGTGATCCTGAGAAACTCTTGCTAACCTGGCAAGAGCTTCGCCAGAAAAACTGCCTTTCTATTATTGTTGTAGGAACTGATTATGTATTGTGTAAATTGAAAGTTTACCTTGTGATTTAATAGGTTTGCAGTGCTCTCTCCGGGATTCAAACGGCGTGGTGGTGTCGGCGCAATGCTGCTCTGAGACGCTTGCCAGACTCTGCATTTTTGTATGTATTGTGCAGTTTCCTAGCCAGTCCAACTCGAGTAGTGATTGGTTTGCTATTCATTACATCTTGCAGCCTTTCAAACAGTATATTGCTACACATGCATCAATTGTTGTCCATGTATATTCCTAATTGCTCAGTGTAAACTGCAATTTCTTTCTGGCTGGTATAAATATATTAAGTAATATGTTTTCGTACTGAAAAGACGGTACACAAATATCTTTTTTAATTAAATTTAACAGCTAATGGGAGCACATATGCTACAACCTCTGCTTACTTTTGACTAAATGTTTTTTTGTTTTTTTCAGGTGCAGAGCCAGAATTTTTTTCTCGGAAAGCAAAGCCACTGGAACTACATGTATTACAAAAGCATACTATTCGCTGCATGTCTGACAATTGTATAAAGTTTTGCAGGTCGTCTTTTTTTTTTTTTGAGAAGTGCTGTCAACCAAAGCATAAATATGTGTTTCTCTGTACATAAATTTCACACGATTTGTTAATATTAATGTATGATAATAAAAACTTGATAATATTTTTCTGGATTCTTGCACTTTATTTGTATCATTGTCATATAAGAAGTACTCTTGTCCTTATTTAGAGATATTGAAACTAATTCAGGGCCACAAACTACATGTAGATCTGTACATGAAATACATGGGAAGTAAAGTTGTTGACACAGGTAATGTACACCAAGGATCGTTGCAGTTTCTCAGTTCCTCATCTGGTGCTAGTACTTGTATGACAAACGGTATCTTTGCCCTGTTACTGTCTAAAATATCAGAAGTTTTTCGCTGGAACACTTCTGTGATTGACAGTGTCCTTGTATTAGGAATACAGTTGTACAAGGAAGTTTATCCAAACAGATACAACACTGACTCTTCAACAATATTTGCAGATCTGATTTGCATACTTGCATGTCATTTTACCTGTTGTACTTGTTTGTTGCTCTCTGGTGTTCTTGCTGAGACCAGGATGGAGAGTGCTATAAACTTGAAAATGCCATAGAAATCATGTTTGCCAATTTACATCCATGCCAAAAACTGGACAAATTATATGTTGCAACTTTCAAATGACAACAAGTGAAGGCAGTGTCATTCATGACCTGTTTGATTGGATAAATTTTTACGACTTGGAGGCCATTTTTTTCCTCAAAAATCTAAAAAAAAACAAGCTT